ATATTTCTCAATGTACTACAATAGTCAGTTTACCATGGTTTGTCTTAGTTTACCTTGATGTTACCTTGTTGTGACCGAATGTTACACAATAATTTATCATGATATACCACATTCTAGAATGATTCAGCAGGATTGTAGCATGATTTACTATGATTTACCACGTTGTTAGCAATTATGTGAAGCTTCAGAACAGTAAAGTGAATTGAAAGACAAAATATGATTGTGTTATTATAGTAATTGTCACATAAGGTTATTTTTTAGTGTCTGAATATATGAATGCAAAAGCACATGTGAAAAGAATATTAATAAGTATAATGTCCAGCAGAGGGTAGTAGAAGACCACTTATTGCTATAGTACCACTTTTATTTTGAACTACTTGGTTTAATCAGTATCAGGGTTTCCGCGGGGTCATAAAAAGTCATAAAACGTCTTAAATTTAATAATAAGAATTTTAGGCCATAAAAACGTCCGGTTTTTCCAAACAAGGTCATAAATTCCATTTAGCCACGTCTTAAATTGATATGCTCATTCATTCATTATCGCGATATAATGTTTTCTATAATGTATAACGGCAGCGTAGCGCGATCAAGCTCACTAGAGCAGACGCGTTCTTCTACTGTCTATGGTTAACTTTGATCAGTCTCGATCACGAGATCCAGTGAGAAGCACTTGAATTCAGCGAAGAACACAAATGTCTCAGTGATTTAAACCAGTTTAAAGGCAGATGAAACAGCGCTGACGAACAGGAGAAACACTGTGCGCAACTATACAGTCAGAAAGCTTTTCCATCTACACATTTACATCCTTTACCATGGTTCTACTGTAACGTTAGCCTAGTAATATTAACTGCACCATGAAATGTGGGATACATATTGAATTGTATTATATTATTAATGTAGACAATGTATTAAAGGACTAATGGAATATAATTACAGTATTTATGTATTTAGGCTATAGCCTACTGTTTTTCATACATTTCATAAAGATACGTGCCATCAAAGTCAGGCAACACAAACCTGTTTCAAGACTTGAAACAATATCCCCCATTAGCACATGCAGAAACTAAGAAATAAATTTTGAAATAAAGATATTATTTTTGTTAAGGAAAAAATACAAATGTTTGAATTTTCTACCTCAGATTTGTGAAATGTTCACCTGTTTGGCAAGTGTTTGTCATGATATGTTTTGACAATAAAGAGTAGTTTAAAACCACAATTAACGCTCTGGTTTCTACAACTTTCAGTTGGGAACAAAAATCTGCCTTCAAAGTTCAAAGAAATAAAGAATTGACATTTATCGTCATAATTATCGATATTGACTGATATATTATCGTGATAAGTGTTGTGTTGTTCCTGTGTTATTGATACTTAGGAAAAGGGAGCCTTCAGTTTGTTACTCTTAAGAAAATGGAACCTTTAAATAATTAAACTTATTACTTTTAATGAAAGTCAATAAAAAAAAGACTTTTGAAAGGAAGTTATTTTTCGTAATTCGAGTAGGTCATAAATTTAAATCATATTGGTCATAAAAAGGTCTTAAAAGGTCTTAAATTTGACTGACTAAACCCTGCAGAAACCCTGAGTATTGTGCACTAAAGCAAACCAGTCTTTCAATGTGAACACCATTATGCATGCTTACACACACACACAAACACACACACACACACAATTGTGGGTTATGATATTGTGAAAATCTCTTTTTGTGGTCCTTAAGCATTTCAGATATTTATTTGTGATGTAAAAATATTAAACTTTCTAATAAATCATTATTTAATATTATATTATAAGCATTTGTTTGTTAGCCATTGCTGAAAACTGGTTAAAAAAGATTAAAAATATCTAATGCTGTTGCTCCCTCTAGTGGACAACAGCGGTTTTACAGCCTACATAAACGGTTGAAATGAATGACAGGAAATTCGTTTTTTTTTTTACTTATATCTCGGGAACGAGAAAGTGAAAAAATCTGAAACTCAGAACTTAGATAGGGTTAGAGGAGCCCTCTTGAACAAGACCATCCCCGTGTTGCTGAGTGATTGCTGTCGGGAGTAATGTCTGTTGAAATGCATATCTTTGTGGGCTTATATCTCGGGAATGCCTGGATCAAATCGCACCATACTCGGATCGAAGCTAGATGAGGACGGGCCCTTTCCAACAAGCTCTCCCACAAGGATATAGGTGCTCTAGGTCGGGAGTTACAGCCGTTTCAATTCGGGAGTCTTATGGATTAGCGATCCGCGGGGGGGAGGGGGGGCGGGGGGGCGTTCCTGTGCCCCGAGACGATAGATTTCGATCAAGACCACAGAGAGGACCTTACCATCAAAATTTGAGCGTGCAGCGACTTTCTGTTTTCGAGTTATGAGTGAATTTGTACTTGGGGGGCGTGGCCCAACGTTATACTTTCGTTTTCAGCCTCCCTGTGACACAATTGTAAATAGTAATAAATAAAATAAATAAATGCAGTCCATAATACTCCAATAGATGCATTTTTACAAAATGTGATTGTAAATGTTGAAATAATTATTTTATTTTAAGTCTAAATATGAACTATAACAATATTAGGGAGTAGTATGATGAAATGACTGCAGGGGGCAGTAAAATACCACTTATTGGCTGTTATAGCCATCCAAATAAAAAAATTATACCTTTTCTGATAATTATTGATCTAGAGAGTCCAGATAATTGTACTGCACTGGTTTTATATAAAATTATACGATCATAGATGGAAAAGACCATTTACAGCCAATACAGGCAATTTACCATAGGAAATGTATTGTTTTAAAGCTTTTTAACAGTTATAGCGCCACATATGGTCCGATCTCCATGAAACTTTGCATGCTTCTTTACCATGGTATGACACATATGCTCATCAATTTTTGTCAAGTTTTGAGTTTTCATTTATGATTTATAGGCTTTTGGGTGTATTTTGACACGCCCATTTTCTAAATGACCCTGTTACAGTGAACCAAAGGGCAAAGTTCAACTTTTTTTCGATAATTATTGATCTAGAGAGTCCAGAGAATTGTCCTAGACTGGTCTGGTTCCAATCGGGCGAAAAACCAGGGACTAGTTCGCAAAAGTAGGTTTTTAATATATTCGTGAATATTTAATGAATGATTTGATTGACAGCAATGGTTCTAGAGGCAAAGTTGTTCAGCATGAGGAGATCTATCAATTGATATGCATATTTTGGGGATGTGTGCAACACCACGTGATTACAGAGCTGTAAAACTCGTTAGCGCCAACTAGTGGCCGATTTCTTTCAAAACTCTTAAAGACCTCTTGGGCCATGAGTCGAACATGCCCATTGAGTTTCGTTCCGATTGGCCTCCGTTAACCTCGTCTCACAGGTGCTCAAACTTCATTGGCGATGGCGGCCATGTTTTTTGAGATAGACCAATGTCCTCATACACACACATGGGGCCTTGGACCAAGACACTGCATACCAATTTTCAAGTCAATCGGACTAACGGTCAGGTGGTCATAGCCCTATTTATGTTTTTTTTTTTTTATAGCGCCACCTAGTGTTAGATCGACGCGTTTTTTTTACTGTGACCCCAGACTGTCCTCATACACATGTGTGTCAATTTTGGTGAAGATATCTCATTTACTTCTCGAGTTATAGCCATTTTAGTAAAATAGGCTCCTCCCACAACGATCATTTTACTCCCCCTATTGACCGTAAATTGAAATGTAAACTTTTTTTCGATAATTATTGATATTCAGACTCCAGAGAACATGTATGCATTTGTTTGGTTTTGATCGGGCGAAAAACCAGGGACTAGTTCGCAAAAGTTGTTTTTTGACGAAATTCAAAATGGCGGGAAAATTTGCATACCGGAAATGAAATCGGAGATATACTTTTTTTTCGACCTTGTATGGAAAAACCGGACGTTTTTATGGCCTAAAATTCTTATTATTACATTTAAGACGTTTTATGACTTTTTATGACCCCGCGGAAACCCTGATACTGATTAAACCAAGTAGTTCAAAATAAAAGTGGTACTATAGCAATAAGTGGTCTTCTACTACCCTCTGCTGGACATTATACTTATTAATAGTCTTTTCACATGTGCTTTTGCATTCATATATTCAGACACTAAAAAATAACCTTATGTGACAATTACTATAATAACACAATCATATTTTGTCTTTCAATTCACTTTACTGTTCTGAAGCTTCACATAATTGCTAACAAAGTGGTAAATCATAGTAAATCATGCTACAATCCTGCTGAATCATTCTAGAATGTGGTATATCATGATAAATTATTGTGTAACATTCGGTCACAACAAGGTAACATCAAGGTAAACTAAGACAAACCATGGTAAACTGACTATTGTAGTACATTGAGAAATATGAATCCTGAAGGACAATTGCAGTAAACATTTCTTTTTTCCATCACATAGTTCAAATATCTGTATCTACAACAGAATGTGTGTGTGTGTAGTCCTAGGTTTCTGAATAAATGCTGAATAATCTGATTAATAGCTTGCAAAGACATTAAATGCTTATAGACCATTAAAATATATTTATATAATGACTTTGTGTGTGTGTGTGTGTGTGTGTGTGTGTGATCAAATGTCTACATATGAGTGCAAAAGCACCTGTGAAAACACTTTATTAATAAGTAGAATGGCCAGCAGAGGGCAGTAGAAGACCACTTATTGGCTCACTCTCATTTTGACACACTTGATTTTCAACAGTAAATCAAAGCACTAAAGCAAACCAGTTTTTCCATGTTAACTATTATAAGACAATCATTTTTTGTCAGAGTTTATCACTTCATTTTTATTGGCCCTTCACATCAATGCAGCAATGTGGTAAATCATGGTAAATCACGATAGAAACATGGTAAATCATAGTAAAAAATACTATTACATGGTGGATCATGGCAAATCATGCTAGCAATGTGATGAATCATGGTAAATCATGCTACAATCCTGGTAAATCATTCTAGAATGTGGTATATCATGGTAAATCATCCTATAACATGGGAAATCATGGTAAACTGTGGTAAATCACACGCATGATATGAGTAGCCTATTGCAGATTTGGGGAGGGCCCATTCACTGGAACTTTTCAGGGGCCCAGTCATTTCTGTTGGCGGGCCTGTTTGCATTTGTTTTGTGAAGTTGCACTTACCTTTTGTGTACATTTGTTTCAGATTCCTCTCTCAAATCCCACTGAAGAGAAGAACGAACTTGAAAGCACAAAAGAAAGAGAACAAGAGGAGAGACAGATAGATTATGTAAATACAATTGAGGAAGGAGAGGAAGATAATGAAAATGGACAAGAGGACCAAGAGGAAGATAATGGAAATGAGGAAGATGATGGAGATGGACAAGAGGACAGAGAGGAAGATGATGGAGATGGACAAGAGGACAGAGAGGAAGATGATGGAGATGGACAAGAGGACAGAAAGGAAGATGATGGAGATGGACAAGAGGACAGAGAGAAAGATGATGGAGATGGACAAGAGGACAGAGAGGAAGATGATGGCGATGGACAAGAGGACAGAGAGGAAGATGATGGCAATGGACAAGAGGACAGAGAGGAAGATGGAAGTGGAAATGAGGAAGGTGAGGAAGATGATGGAGATGGACAAGAGGTAAACACAGAAGGTGATGGAAGTGGAAATGAGGAAGAAGAGGGAAATGAGCAAGAGGACAGAGAAATAGATGGTGAAAGTGAAGATGATGGAAGTGAACAAGAGGAGACAGAGGAAAAGGATGGAAGTAGACAAGGACAGAGATCAGGAAAAGAGAGGAGCCAAGGAAATGATAATTCAAACCAAAGGAAGGTGCGTTGATATCTATACACATGGTGTTAATTTATGTTGACTGTGTTGACTGTGATTTATGTTTGCTTTTCACCTGTCTTAAATGTTCAATACTGATATTTCTGCTTGTGTTTTATATTTTCTTGTTGTAGTTAATTTGATCAGACTTGTCTTTTTTCACAGAAACAACATGAAGATGATCCTGTATACCCAGGTGCTCCTCTCACAAAGGGACAGAGTCTGCTCTTACTCATGTCGTATGTACTGCGCCACAATTTGACAGAAGTAGCTCTTCAGGATCTCCTTACTATGTTCAATGAACATTTTCCTGGCTTGGTGCCAGCAACTTGGCAACTTGGACAATTTGGCCAGTATGTGCCACATTTTCATTGTATCAACTGTGAAAGCTACTTAGGAGCTACTGAGACAGCACCACAAAACTGTTCTTCTTGTAAAGCTAATGTTATGTGGATGAAGGATGAACCCAATAGCAGACAGTAAATGATTCTCACAGGGTTTATTAATGGACAAACAGAAAACAAAAACCCACAATGGGGCAAAACAAGGCAGGTAGTGATGTGACATTTGAACCGAGGCGTCGGAGCTTGTGTCGAGAAAAAATGGGCGTGCCAGATGAAGCCGCGATTCGAGGCTTGTGTTGTTAACGTGAAAATCACGTGACTAATGACAAACGAGGCCTCGGTTTGTGAGGATACGTCATCGGTTCGGTCTGAGTGTCGCTTCCGGATAAAGGGGGTTCGAAACTCGCGCCACCTTGTGGGTGTTGCAGGAGTTGGAAGTTGTAGTAGTGTGTCAGAGAGACAGAGTTAGAAAACTCTCATTGTCATTGTCGTTATATTGTGTCATACAGTGTTAGGGCTGTATATTATTACATTATGTCAGGTTAGAATAGTTATTAAAATTAATTAATAATTGTTATTATTAATTATAGTAGCTATATTATAGTCTTGTTATATTTATTAGATAAGATTATTTGGATTGCTTTGGATTTTTGGTAGCTTAGATTTTTGGATCTGGACTGGACTGCTTTTTGTTTTGGATTGCCCTTTTGGATTTGTTTGCTTTTTATGACATCTTCCTTTTCCATGGTAATGGAGCCAGCAAGAAAGAGGAGATCCTCCCCTGTCTGGGCTCAACAGAAGCATCAGTATCTTCATTTATACCCGCTGGCACTGACATTTTTCCTTGTGAAAGGATATTTTTACAAGGCTGGAGAGGTTTTGTCCAAGAAGAGGAATTGTCTAAACCCCAACACACTTCAAAAAAATTCATTTTCTTAATAAAAATCTATTGTAATCCTTCCTTCATCCACCCCAAATTTACTTTATTACACTCCCTTGAGTCCCTCCACCATAAGCACTGCACTCAACACAGTGTCACTTTTGTTGTTCATACTGTCACTATCCAATTTTTTTTGAATAATTAATTAATTGTGTGTGTGACAGTTGTCTCTGTACAAGTAAATGCAGACAGATAAAGATAAACGTTTTATTTCATACCCAGGCAATGGACAAATGTCTGCACAGATATCTTTATGAAAGGTTACAGAGACATTATCAGTGAGAAGATAAATAAATAAAACAGAGCGGGAGGGGGGCGGGTCATTGGTTCACAATGCATTAATTTGCCTGCTATTTCTTTGTACAGTAGCTAGGTAGCTAGGTGTATGAGCAATGCTGAATGAAGCTTCGAGTAATGAACCGAGTAATGAACCTTTGGTTGAAGCAATGGGCTGCGAGGTCTCAGTGGTTCAGGAAGCCTCATTTTGCCATCACTAAAGGCAGGACAAGACTAATACTCAGACAGTAAACTCACAGCTACGACAGGAACAGACAATTCTTGAAGACAGGAACAGACAATTCTTGAAGACAGGACTCTCAACAGGTTACTCACAGCTTGATACACACAACGTATGACAATGTCAAACAATGAACCGACACAGGACAGCAAACACAAGGGGATTATGTAGGGAACACTAATGACGAGGACAGGTGAAACTGACTAGACAATAATGACAAGACGAGGGTAACAAGGGGGCGGAGTTACATAACGAGACAACACAAGCACATGGCCCAAACAACAGACCATGCGCTTGTACACAAAACACGGGTCTGTCATGATCCAGCCTCAAGACTAGGGGAAATCAAGGACAAGAAGGCCGGATCATGACAGCTAAATTTGATGCAGAGATAAACCTAAGGGCTGGATCTTACTTTCTAGTACTTAGTCTATCAGCCCAAATAAAAGACATTTTGGAAAAACCAGAGATTTGTTTGAATAAAAGGGAATCAATTCCAGGCATTGTTTCCGATATTCAGTGTGGGGAATTATATCAAAAGATCAAGCAGAGTGGACAAATGGGGCCTGATGACATATCAATCTTGTGGAATTGTGATTCCTGTTTTTAAAAGTAATAATGTTCCGATATGGCCAATCCAGTGTCAAATTATTGAGCTGTCACCAAGTGATCGTGAAAGGAACATATGCGTACCATGCTTATGGGTTGGTAACAGCAAGCCAAATATGATCACATTTTTAACTGCTTTTGTGTCACAGCTCAAGGAACTAGACCAGGTTGGAATCAAATGGAGGGACTCTGAAAACGTAGAGCATACAAGCAAGGTTCATTCACTCCTCTGCTCTTCTGATTCAATTGCCTGGCCCCTCCTGAGAAACACAAAGCAGTTCAATGGAAAATATGGGTGTGACTTTTGCCTCCACTACGGTGGTGGCCCATATATTTGGGAAACACCTGAACCACCTTTAAGGACATAGACAGATCATTTCCGGCATGCTATGCTGGCAACACCTGCTCAACCAGTAATGGGTGTAAAAGGACCATCACCTTTGATGGAACTTAAAAGCTTTAACATGATCACAGGCTTCGTTCCAGAGTACCAGCACAGTGTCTGCCTTGGTGTAACTAAACAGGTAACATCTCTGTGGCTGGACAGTAAACACCATAAGGAAGATTGGTACTTGGGCTCAAAGACCAATGACATAGACCAGGGGCTCAAGGCCATTAACCCACCTTTGGAAGTCACAAGGGCCCCAAGATCAGTGGTGTAGTCTACGTGATACGCGGGTCAGGGTTTCCGTTGTTCGGTAATTACCGGACATTGGCCGGGAAAAAAATTAAATGTCCGACAAAATTAAATCTCTCCGGTCAAATTGTCCGATTAAAATTGCGTAATAATCCCGCCCCCCTAACACAATATGAATTTGTTTGAGAATAAGCCTAAAATGTATAAAGCAAAAATACACCGACTTTTGGCTATGTTATAAAGGAACAGCCTCTACCGTTTGAAAGTTATTAAACAACATCGCATGCTGCATTTCAAATAAAGCGCACGCCTAAAACGGCTGTAATATAGACCTAAACAACGAACGATTGAGTGAGATGTTTCAGATATGGCCAGGCCCAGGCAGGCTAGCCTTAAAGGAACACTCCACCATTTTTTAAAAAATTGGGGTTATTCACGGTCTCCCCTAGATAGGAGGGCAAATGCATTTTTGGAAGCACAGGCGAAGCACTGATACTTGGGCGCAGAGATATCACGCAACACCTGAAATAAAGCTTGACACAAAACCGGCGAAAGTAATGATTAGGCCTATGCATGAAACATTTGAATTATTGATAAATTGATAAAGTTGACGATGCAGACTCGCCATCTTCGCAGTAGGCTAGTGAACGCGCCTATAGAGAGAAGTGTGCACGCGCCGGCGACTCCGTCCTGATTATATTGTCCACTATATTTGCTTCTTATTTATTAATCCAGGCAAATTTGTTGATGAAACATTGATTAAAATTAAGATACAATTTATACAAAACGAAATTTTCAAGCAAAAATAATATTAGACGCTGGGTTGATTATTATTCGAAAATCGCACCCCTCTCCACCACATGCACGCACACATGCATTAGGCTACACACCAGAGCATGAGCGCTCAGCTTGACAATTTATACAAAACGAAATTTTCAAGCAAAAATAATATTCGAAGATCGCTGGGTTGATTATTATTCGAAAATCGCACCCCTCTCCACCACATGCACGCACACATGCATTAGGCTACACACCAGAGCATGTGAGCAAAGCGGAGGGGTGTGACGCTTATTATAAGTTAAAAAACTTAAATGATGTTTTATTAACAAAGTTCGGGAGGAGCACGTTCAGATAATTAAACCTAATTAAACACACGTGGAGCACATTCAGATAATCAAACCTAATTAGACAAGAGTGGTGCTTAATCAACGAGTTAAGCGCTGTGTATATATACAGCAAACTAACCTCCGTTCATTGACAGTTTAACAGCATTTGGCCCCGCAGTACCTTCCTAACATGTCCGAATCGAGCGCTTCCCGTTTGATGAAGAATCTTTCGTCCTTCAGGATTAGGAATCTTTGCCACAATCATCTGGTATTATCTCGTGGGCGTCAGGCCAAACAAACGGGTCCTCGCCACCGCGGGCGAAACATCAGCAATCTACTTCCGCGTATTTCTTTAAACTGTCCCATTCAATAATTCCTGCCATAGAGAAATGGTCATAAGGCAATGCCGCCCTCTTAATTCGAAGGAACGGGTCTTCCTCCAGCGTCAGGCCGCCGCAGCAGGCCCTAAGTAAGCCGCGCTGCAGATTCAGTCCCGGTCAGTCCACACTCAACATCTGCCGGGTCAACTCTGTGAGCGCTTGGCTCAAAACCTTTTCGTTTTCTGTCCCTAATTGAACTTCGTATCACTTCAGTTGTTGAATCACGAGCAAGTTATGCTATCTGGATACTAATTTTGATCGGGGGAACACGCGTTTTAAATAGTTTCCGTACAAATGATTTGCCGTTCATTAACGCGATGCTTCCTTTTGGTAAACTCACACGTAAAC